ACATGCTATGATTGAATTATTTAGTGTGTGTTGTCAAACACTTGAATGTGAAAACTCCATCTGGACGTTATAATGTGATTAAGACGTAAACATGTGGACAGAATGAGACTAAGGTCAGAATACTCCACTTGTCTGATTGTTGAATATTCTGAGTGTGATCTTCAGTTTAAGTTAATCAGATCATGTTTGTCCATGAAACAACAGGGCTTGTTTTCACTGCTCCACAGTCAATAGATGTTTAAATGTTTTATTGCAGCGTCCAGAAAGAAAAATCACTTTATTCAACAAACTGGTGAAGTGGAGCTTCCAAACCAAACACCTGTTTTCTTTATTTTCCCTCAGATTCCAGAATCACCCAACTTCATCTGAGAACCACCAACAACCTTCAGAACTTCTAGATTTTACTCTGATTGTGGAGTTACAGTCGTGGGCTTCTAGAAAAGCCTCTGGACTCAGGCTCAGTCATAGAATCTGAAGTCTGAAGCTACAGCAAGTTCTGAAAATCCTCCAGTGTGCTCCAGAAAGTGGTTCAGGAGTCGCAGCAGGATCCAGGATGTCTTCAGGTGGATCAGAACAGTGTTCTGGAACGGGACCCAGATTCAGCTCCAGATCTACATCCAAGCCTTGGGTGTTTATCGCACAGCTGATTGTCTGGTGTTTGGCCTCCGCCTCTCCAGTTGGTTGCCACAGTAACTTCTCATCTCTATCAGACGGGGTGATGTCTGATCTCCACAGCACCGACTCACCTCTGCGACCCAGAGCGGAGAATGTGATCCAGACCTCAGACCGAGACCCACATCTGGTGCAAGAGACCGTGAACAAGCCTCTGTTGTCTCTGGAACACCACAACCTGAAGCACCCGAGCCAGCTGAGACACAAGCACGACAGAAGTCCTCACTCGCCGTCCATCAACTCATCTGCGGCGGTTCGCGAGACCCCAGCGTCGCCCCCTCGGTGCATCCATGTGACGTCAATAAACACGGCCTTCAAGTACATCAACACGGTGATCTCCTGCGTGATCTTTGCTGTGGGGATCATTGGAAACGCCACCCTGCTGAGGATCATCTGCCAAAATAAAAGCATGAGGAACGGACCCAATGCTCTCATCGCCAGCCTGGCCCTGGGAGACCTGATCTACATCGCCATCGACATCCCCATCAACATCTACAAGGTTCAGTGTGTTGAGTGTTCTCATGACACGTGGCAGCTCCTCACAACTTCGTTCAGGAGACGTTAAACAATCAACATTTCTACACTGAAGAGATTTATAAAGTTAATTTGAAGAGAACATTGGAGTCGTGACACTGTGATTGATGATAAGCTGCTTACATTCAGCTTCCTGTGTTATCAGTGTGTGTGTTGTGTGTCTCAGTCAGGAGGTTGAGTGTCACACTGATAACAACACTAAAATAGATGAGATAACGCTCTGCACACACTCTAACTGTGATAGTCTGTTAAAGACGTGTGTGTGTGTGTGTGTGTGTGTGTGTGTGTGTGTGTGTGTGTGTGCAGCTCCTGGCGATGCAGTGGCCGTTTGCTGACAGTGCGTTTGGCCTCTTCCTCTGCAAACTGCTCCCCTTCCTGCAGAAAGCTTCGGTCGGCATCACCGTCCTCAACCTGTGCGCGCTAAGTGTGGACAGGTAACGTACGCACCAATCGTCATATACGATACATCTGAGAACCTTTTTTCTGTGTGAGACCAGGATTTGTTGATCTCACGTTGAGATTTTGTCGAGCTTTCACTCTAAACTCTGCACTCAGATTCTCCAGCTTCAGCTCTTCTCTTCTCATAAACAATGGAATCAGATATAATGCTCAGAAAATAATGACATGTCAATGCTTTAAAAAGTTCATGTTGTCCCGCAGGTATCGTGCGGTGGTGTCCTGGTCTCGGGTACAGGGCACAGGTGTTCCCATGGTAACAGCAGTGGAGATAGTGGCGATCTGGGTGCTGTCCATCGTGCTCGCCGTGCCGGAGGCCGTCGGCTTCAACATGGTCAACTTTGACTACAACAACGTCACCATTAGGACCTGCATGCTGGAACCCAGGACGCCTTTTCTCGCTGTGAGTGTGTGTGTGCGTATGTGTGTGCATGTGTCTGTGCACGTGTTTGCCAGCGACAGTAAAAACAATCTGTGAGATCAAAATCAAGGAAAAGACTTTTGTAGAAGAATTATCATATTTTCAACTTCTCACTTTTTTCTTTGAATCACTCTCAAGTTATTTGATTAAATCGCATTAACTCCAAACACTTCATTAAATTTGACCTTTAACATTTAACTTTTGTGATAAAGTTACATTTAAATCTAATGTGTCAGAGTTTTAGATCCAGTTTTTCTATTGTAGATGTTAAATGGAATTCCCAGTCCTAAAACAATATCAGCTTGTTGACTCTCAGTTATATAAGTTAACATCTCATGGGTGGAGAGGGTTTGATTCTGGTCCGTTCAGGGTGAGGTCTCTTTAGTTCAGACAGTTTATATCATCATTTCCTGTTTGCGTGTCCAGATCATGGCTAAAGTCAACAAACTCTGTCCTGGCCCTGGAAACTGAGCCCGGGTCAGCTGACCTGCTATCAGGCTCAATCATTAGAACTCGACCTTTCAAAACATTCTGACCAGACCCATTTGATTCTGAGGACACTTTTCTCTCCACAGTTCTCTCTTCAGTTTCTCTGTGATTTCAAGGTCTCGGCCTGAATATGTAAAGCGCTATGAGATAATTCAGATTATACAAATAACATTTTATTTTATTTTATTATCTCAATGTTCTTATGTCGTTGTGTGTGTTTCTGTGTGGTCCAGTTCTACCGGGAAGCGAAGGACTGGTGGCTGTTTGGTTTCTACTTCTGCGTCCCTCTGGTCTGCTCTGTTGTGTTCTACGGCCTGATGACCTGCGAGATGCTCAGACACCAGAAAGGAAGTCTGAAGATCTCACTGAGCGAACACCTCAAACAGGTACACACACAAGCACACAGACATACATGCAGCTACCTTTCCTAGAAATATCGTCACAACTTCCATTTGAAAAATGTGCAGCACAAGAACATTTTGGATCAGACTGAATAAGTTAAACGTGTGGATGTGAAGTCGGACATTTCAGATTCACTTTCTCTCTCCAGCGTAGAGAAGTCGCCAAAGCAGTTTTCTGTCTGGTGCTGATCTTCGCTCTGTGCTGGTTTCCACTGCATCTGAGTCGACTGCTGAAAAAAACCATCTATAGATCCCATGATGCTCGCCGCTGTGACTTCTTAAAGTGGGTGACTGTTTTATTTACCATGTATTTCTACCTCTTTGCTCTCCTGGCCATTCTGGAGTGTGGTTAAACGTCATGTGCTCTTCTTCTGTAGTTTCCTGTTGGTGTTGGACTACTTCAGCATCAACATGGCGACCATCAACTCCTGCATCAATCCCATAATCCTCTACTTCGTCTCCAAGAAGTTCAAAAACTGCTTCAAGGTAAAAACAGAATTTGTGTTTGCACACAGCTGAGGCAGAGTGACATCAGGGCGTGGTCATGGGGTCAAAGGGGCGTGAGACATTGATAACATGACATGGCACAGACTTAAATACTCGATCACATGTTGTGGGAGTGAAAATATCTCGAGGAAAGAGATCTTTGACCTTTGACTTGTGGGAAGCGAGCAGTGACATTGGTTTAAAGGGGCACTCCACCGACGTTAAAGGAGACACTTAACTTTTTAACTTCTCGTCAGTCGTCTGGCTGAGAGCTCCTCATCACGCCCTTCAACAAAACCAGGTCAAACAAGAGGCCGACATTTCTTCACTGGCCAATCAGAGCAGACTTTATCAGGAGGAGGGACAGAGGCTGAAAAGAGGAGCAGCAGCGATGGACAGTTTGAAGACAGTGACGTGTTCGTAGTATTTCCTGTAACCAAGCGTTTACATCACGTGACCAGTGAACATGTCACGTGATATTTGTTTTCAGGTGTGTTAGGAGATAATTTACGTTTTGGGTGTGTCAGTGTGGACGTAGCCTGTGTTTGAATGTGTTCACAGCAGAGTTGCATTATGGGAAATGTAGGCCGCATCATTTATGGATCTGTACTACTAGAGACCAAAATGTGGGACATCTTATCCGTTGTTTTTTCAATATGAAGTTATTTCTTGAATCCCTCTACTTTATTGAAGTAAACAAATTGAAATCGCTGGAGTTCCCCTTTAATCCGTCTCACCCCCTGTCTCTCCGCTCCCCACCCCACCCCACCCCTCTCTCTCCAGTCCTGTCTGTGTTGTTGTTTTTATTCTGGCGCTTTCTCTAACAGTCTGATGCCTCTCCACCATGGGACGAGTCTGCAGTACAAACACCCTGATCACTGAGAGAGAGAGAGAGAGAGAGAGAGAGAGCAGACGTCCAACACCTGCACTGACCAACACGTCCACACACCATCGCGTGTTAATGCAGTTTTAAACATCGTGTTTATTACAGGCTAATATTTCTATATTTCTATATCGGGAACTTTATGGTCAAAAGTATGTGGACACCTCTGGTTTCATTACACCCACAATAGGAACCTGCTGAGTTGATTTTGATTTTTGATATTGATGAGTTTTACATCAGGACTTGTAAGAAGTGCAAAGGTCAGAGGTCGACTGACAGAAATATTTAAAATGTGTATATGTAATATCATGAATTTTAAATAACCATTGTGTGTCTGTGTTTGTTTCTTCTAATCTTTTATATAAGTATTTATCAATAAAGTCATATTCTCATCGAAGTTCAAGTCTGTTTTGTGTTGCACACGTGTGCGTTCGTGTGTCTAATAAATGAGTCTGAACCAATGAGCTAATGTAATTGTGTTTTATGCTGACAGCCTGGAGATGGATGAAACAGCACTTTATAGAAAACTGGATTTATTTCCATTTTGTTAAATAGAATATGGAAGATATAAATAATTGAAATGACTGCTGCAGGCTCTGTATGAATAATCCTGGTGTCTACATCAAGGTGCAAACATCAGTATAGACGTTAGTGAGATAGAGTGAATATGAAATCATGCAGATGTTTCCATATCACAACATCTGGACATCATCGGTGCGTCATCGTTATGATATAATTCAATTTGCCTGTTTGTGACTCCAAACACGTGACTGGTGACGACAGAGACGATGCCCCTCCCTCCCGGTGACGCGGGCGCACGAACACGGGCGTCGGGCGGATGAGGCGCGGACTGCAGCCTCCTCTGTGTCGGTGTGAAACCCGGAGCATCACCCGGTGGATGCGATCGATCGGGCCGGTGATCGCTGCCACAGCTGATCCGTTCAGTTCCGGTTAAAGGGAGGAGGAGGAGGTGGAGGTGGAGGAGGAGGAGGAGGATGCGTTGCCTGGAGACAGAGCCGGAGGAGCTGAGGAGGAAAACAGGGCATCAGAGTGAATGAGCATCTTCATCTCCAGCCGTCCTCCTCCTGTTTTTCAGTATTTATAACAATTTATAATTTAATATTTTAAAACCCGTTTCCACTGTTTAGACGATAAACAGGTTCACATCTAAATGTGTGTTTCGTATCTGGTTTCTAACGAGCTGATTCACTGAGACGCTGCTTCGTGTTGACCTCACTGCACTTCATGATGTGGACATTAAACATGAATATTAGTGTGTGTCCACAGTGACGAGTCTCCGTTTGTTCTCGTGACACTGTGCAGAATAGAAAACCTGTTTTTTTCATTTTATATAGAATGTGTATAAATGTGTCACACTGACAAAGATAAATTAAGATAATCTGTTTTTGATCGCAGCCCTTGTACAGAATAAATATAGCACGAGACGAATATACAGTATGTGGTGTCGTGCAGTGTAACGTTGTGTGTACGTGTTGTGTTGCAGAAACGTGGGGTCACAGTGGAGATGAGCCTGTAGTTCGACACTGACGGTGAAACAACAGTGATGCCGTGTTCGTGTGCAGAGTGGCGGCGGTGGATCCGCCCGCTGGTTCTGGTCCTCTACGCCCTCCTGCTGCTGGCCGTGCTGCCGCTCTGCATCTGGGAGCTGCAGAAGGACAAAGTATAACATCCGTCTTTCTTCGCTCATCACCTCCACCTGTCGTCCTTCAGTTCGAGAGCAGTTTCACGTTTTGCAGATTTTGTAATGCTCTCAATCAAACCCTGCGCTCACACTCAAACAGCCTCTGATGGAAACCGAGAGCTTGCACTCAAATGTTTTGTTGCTTGGATGGATTCCCAGCTCCAGCTTCAGCTCTTCTCCTTGTGGTCACACTGCTTCTGTGCACGTGAAACATCTTCTCTAGAAGTCCGTCTAATTTCCCCAAACAAAAGAGTGCAGGTGCAGCGTTGTCCTTGTACTTGATGCTTTGGCTTTAATTCAAACACTCTCCTCAGGCTCACGCTGCTTCTGGGCTTTATTCTTGACAGGGGAAATCGTCAGGCCTTCATTGTGGGTTAGCTTTTCTTCTTGGAGAGTCCTGAACGATTGGTAACTATAACCGGGTTCATGCTCTCGCGAACTCCACTGCTCTATTATTACACCTACTTCCCTTTGAAAGAAAAGTTAACACACCCAGAACGAGACGAAAGCTGGAGCACAGGAAATCTGAACGTGAAATCAATAAGTCCTGCTCTCAAACTGAAAGACCACGCTCTGGAATAAAGAGGAATAAAAGCCCATATCCACGCTTCTGTGGTGACACGTGAGCGATGAAGATGGAGCTCACACTCATCACTGAACGTTTCTCCGTCAGGTCGGGACTCACAGTAAAGCCTGGTTCATCGCCGGCGTCTTTGTTTTCCTGACGATCCCCATTTCACTGTGGGGGATCCTGCAGCACATGGTGCACTACACCCAGCCTGAGCTGCAGAAACCCATCATCAGGTACACACACACACACACACACACACACACACACACACACACACTCACACTCACACTCACACACACACACACACACACACACACACACTCTCTCTCTCTCTCTGTTTGAGTACTCTCCATCTCTCTCCCCTAGAATACTATGGATGGTGCCAATCTACAGTCTGGACAGTGTGAGTCATCATCACACACACAAACACACAGTGACATGCCCCTTTTAATCCAATATGTTGCCATAGTAACCGGACCTAGATGACCAGACGTCGAGTGAAGGAGCTCACACTCTTCTGTGATTCTTCACTTGTCTCCATTACAGCTAGAGAAATCTACGCCTCCTTTATTTCCTTCTTTCTTTAATGTGACTCCTGCAGCATCTTTAGCATCACTGAGGATTAATTTATAATATTAACATGAATAAATATAATATATATGATATTCTATCAGGGACTCTTCTGTTTTCCTCCTCAGTGGCTGGCTCTGCGGTATCCCGGCCTGGCCATATACGTGGACACGTGCAGGGAGTGCTACGAAGCCTACGTCATCTACAACTTCCTGTCCTTCCTGCTCAACTTCCTCAGTAACCAGTACCCGAGCCTGGTGTTGATGCTGGAGGTCCAACAGCAGCAGCCACATCTGCCGCCGCTCTGCTGCTGCCCCCCCTGGCCCATGGGAGAGTGAGAGGATGATTAATGTCGTTATGGCGACGGATGTACAGACGGATTGGAACCCACATGTTCATATGCTCCTCTCTCTGTCTGTCAGGGTGCTGCTGTTCAGGTGTAAGCTGGGAGTCCTCCAGTACACTGTGGTCAGACCCGTAACCACGGTGATAGCGCTGTAAGTTTTTAACTGTAACCACGGGGAAACAATTATCAGTATCATCTGCTAACAATCTGTAAAACGTTTCCGTCTCCGTCCGCAGGATCTGTCAGCTCTGCGGCGTTTACGACGAAGCCAACTTCAGCTTCAGAAACGCCTGGTCCTACCTGGTCATAGTCAACAACATTTCTCAGCTGGTAAACACACGTCGCACACGCAGCGTCCGCATCTTAATGTTGTACCTTTGTCAGCTCGATCACGAAGGCCTGTCCCTCTGCAGTTTGCCATGTACTGTCTGGTGCTGCTGTACCGAGCTCTCAGAGTGGAGCTGACTCCCATCAGGCCCGTGGGCAAGTTCCTCTGCGTCAAACTGGTCGTCTTCGTCTCCTTCTGGTGAGGAATTATGGAAGAAGAGAGGGAGGGAGGAAGGAGGTAAAGAGTTTTGTTGTCACTAACCCCCCCCTCCTCACCCCCTCTCCTTAGGCAGGCTGTTTTAATAGCGTTCCTTGTGAAGGTCGGTGTGATCTCCGACAAACACACCTGGGACTGGGACAGCGTGGAGGCCGTGGCCACTGGACTGCAGGTGAGACGCTTAAACGCGCTGCTTATTTGCAGCCATGAGATCAATTTATTCAAGAGCATGGACTTTCGTGGTCTTCCCGCTCGCACTCGAAACCCCTGCTTGTGCTCTAATTGTGCATATTTTTTGTTTGATAAATACAGGACTTCATCATCTGCATTGAGATGTTCCTGGCTGCCATTGCTCACCACTACACCTTCAGCTACAAGCCTTACGTCCAGGTAATCTATCTATCTATGTATCTATGTATGTATCCATCTATCTATCTATCTATCTATCTATCTATCTATCTCTCTATCTATCTCTCTCTCTATCTCTCCAGGAAGCGGAGGAGGGCTCGTGTTTCGACAGTTTTTTGGCCATGTGGGATTTCTCAGACATCAGAGCTGACGTCACAGAGCAGGTCCGCCATGTTGGTGAGTCTCAATACTTTATTTTTCATTACTGAATTTTTAAATGATCTAATCATAATTCTAATTAATTAAATGATTTATTTATTTTTTTATATTTATTTTTTTTAATATTTAATAAGTATTTATTTATCTGCTCAATTTCATCAATATAAATGCTTTTCTATTCTAACTTTTGATTTTATTCTAGGTTTAGTTATTGACATTCATTTCTGAATTTTCAGGGCTGCACCAAATTAATATTCTATCATCATTATTAATTAATCTGATAACTGATCACTTTCATTATTTTATCTGGAAAAATATCTGCAATTATTTTTAACAAACCAAGACGACTAAAAGTTACTCAACAAATATTTTATATTTTTTAATTAATGAATTAATTTGAACTGGTTGGCGATTAATTAAGTTATGAATTGATTAGTGTTCTAACTATTGCAGCTTTATTTTGTACAGTTTAAAAACTTTTATTTTATATTTAGAAACTCGACGACGATGACATCATTGACATCTGGTTTTGGTCACTGACCATTGCCTGGTAACCATGGTAACCATCCCTCTGATCCTCCATCAGGTCGTACATTCCTGGGTCGTCCCAACAAGATGTATTTTGGCGCCGCGTCTCGACCTGAGCACTCCGAACACACCGGCCTCCTCACGGCGACCTCTCAGGACCCCGTCACCGCGGCCGCCACGTCGATGCCCTCCTCGCCTTCTTCAAGTGGGCGGTACCAAGGCCTCGGCCACACCCCCGCCCCTCACTCTATTTCCGCCCCAGCGGGCTTCACTTCCTCATCGTGGGAGGATGACAGCGACAACACGCCTCCACAAGAAGGTGGCGTTCAATAACAGGGCGGCGTCGCAGCGAGGACACATCCAGGAAGTAGGAAATTCTGTGGAAAATCAAAAATTGTAAAAAGAACTGTTGTTTCCATGTTCATGAAAAACAAGATAATTAATCGAGAGCAGGTGAAGGAAAGCAGAGACATGATGCCAAAGCCGTGTTTGTTAAGAGAAAAAAAAAATCTGTATTTTGAAGATGTTGCTTTTGGCGGTTGGAGTGAAGCTGGTTTCTTCAGAGGGAGTGAGTCTTCGTCTTATTTTACACGTCTGTGGTTCTTTAGTGTCACCGATCTGTTTGTTCTCATTCACAATAAATCAACACGTCACATGTAAACAACAGAATGTGTGTCCTTAGTTTCAGAGAAGTCTCACGACTCCAACAACTCAAAGTCGTCGCCACACAATTTTGGATTTTAATAATAAAGTCGTTTTAACCAGAATGATTTGTCTGATTAACTCATTTCAGAACAACGAATCCATAATATTATAAAATGTGAAAAAGTGTAATATAATAATATCATAAGATGTTATTGTTTGTTAACAGCGTTGTTCTCTTTCTCAGGAGGAACAATCAGAACATTTTTCTTTTTTTCTTCACCGACTGGTATTTTTGTAGAAATGTAAGTGCGCATAGTTAATATGTAATCATCACGTGTCAAATCGAAAGTAAAAGTGTTTAAGGACAGAGGACATTTTGTGATCGTCCGTTGAGCTGCTTCCTGTCAGGACGGATTCTGGAAACAAGAAGAAAAACCTTTTTCTGACGTCAAAGTAAGTTTAATTGTTTGTTTACGTGTTTATGAATGTGTGTGTCCTCTGTGTGTGTGTGTGTGTGTGTGTGTGGATCTGTGTGTGTCCCCTGGGTGAGTAATCTGTGTGTGTGATCTGTGTGTGTGTGTGTGTATTTCTTACTGCGTGGCATGCGGACGTGTTAAAATGCTACGAATTTAAAAAGATCACAGCAGCTCAACTTTGTCGCAAAGTGAAAACTAACGACGTCACCTCATCAATAATGACGCAGATCTATTATTTTATATTTATTCAGGCAGGTTCAGGCTCAAAACAAACAGGAAATCGGGAGACAGTGACTGGCTGTTACCACAGGAGGGCAGCAGATCACGATTGAAACCATAGACTGTATATAAAGATGGACGTAGTGTCCGTGA